AAAAAAAAAAAAAAAAAGACTGTTTCAAGGTCTATTTTAACAACGAAATGCTATTTTGTTATGGAATCTAATCAAGTCTTTTTTTACCTTACGGATCGGGTGACAGTGGTGCGCTGTACAAAGCGGTTCGCGTTGAGCAAATGGTTTAAGAGTAAACGCTTTTGCAGCCTGGAAGCCTAACACCAGATTAACCCGTTGCTAGTTTTGGAATAGAGAAAGGAGCTATAATTTTGTGACTTTTCGGAAGACAAAAAGGACAGAACTACAGGAGTGGAGGCGAGACCGAACAAGCCAATGGACAACCATTAGCCCTAGCTGTTCTGAAGCAAAAATCAATAAAACCAACTCATCACACTTGTGACATAACCACCGGGACCTTCGGTTACCTGGGAAGCAGAAGTCTATTCACACAGGGAGCAATAAAAGCCAGTTCTGTTAAGTGTTGGTTGAGAAGTTGGACATACTTAACAAAAAAGGTGAAAACAGGTGAGCAAGTTTTATTTCATCTCAGGGAGAGATTTTACGTAAGCTGGGGCCATAACTGCAGTTTTAAAAAGCCTGATTTCCGTGTTCTTGTCTCTGAGCATCCCACCATCCATCACTGCACGCGCACACGAGCGCCGCTCCCCGCCGCGGCCGGCTCCGGCCCGGTCCGGACCCGCTCAGCCAGCGCCCGGCGAAGGAGCGTGACGATGACGTTGGTCGATCCAACACCACGCCAAGTTGGCCAGACTGGGATCGTCTGTCCCTGCAATAAAGCGAGAGGTCCCATTTAACTCCCGTCTGTCGGGGAGGGGGGGAAATAAAGCCCTCAGCCATTGCGTCTCACCGCTGAGGACGCAGCCGCGGCCGCCCGCTTACAGCCCAGGGCCCAGGAGGGTTTCGCGTAGAGCCCCTGGCTCTTGAGCAGGCAGGAGCCGCTACGTGCGCTGCCGGGAGACGCAGGATCGATTTTTACGTGATAGCCTGTTTTATGCAACATAAGCAAAATTAACTCGTAGTGTAGTGTTCCTACCTCAGCCCGTAGTTCATGGTGTTTCTATGCAGTGCGTGGTAGTCCCGAACCTGCCGTTTTTCGCCCCGGGTTAGCGATGCAGCGTTCCCTCCTCCTCACTGCTGATGTACTGCGTGACGTCGTAACAGCACAGCCCTGCCCGCCCGCGGGCACCGCGCGCCCCGTACGTGAGACATCGTCCTTCCAGACAAAGCGCAGCCTCTAAGAACTGACCCTGGAACCCTTCTCCATCGGCTTACTCTAGACTAGCGATTAATGCCAGACCTAGTTTACCTCTGCAGTTTCCACCCAGCGTTTTACTGCAAAACCACGAGAACTGGTGATTTTTCATTGTACGTTTTTCCTCTACGTTCCATGTTACGTCTTGTGTTTCACGACCTGTTAGTTTTACCTGTCTTTATATAAAAATGTTGTTTCCATAGGTTCTTATATCAGAAAAAGAAAATAAATCTCGTAATAGCGTACTGCCTCTTTAAGCAGTAGACGGTAAAATACCTGAAAATGTGAATTTCTTAGTTTTCATAAAAAAAGAATCTAGAAATTAACCTTTCATGTGCCAAATACTGTAAGTTACATTTTTCCTTCAAAATGTACCTTTTTCTACATATTCAATCTTAGTTAGCATAAAATCATTGGTGCCATGAAAAGTATTTTTAAATTTAAATAAATATTTAAATATCATGAAAACCAGAGTTGGGATGAGATTTGTTCAGCATTTATGGTGTCGGTACCAATTTTTCACTTGAGTAAAAAACTTGGGGGGATCTCCTCAACGCTGATCAATCCTTCAAGGGAGGTGCCAGGGGGATGGGACCAGTCTGTTTCCAGTGGTGCCCAGTGACAGGACAAGAGGGAACGGGCACAAAGGTGACCGTAGGAGGTTCCATCTCAGCCTGAGGAGGGCCTTCTCTGCTGTGAGGGCGGCAGAGCAGTGGCAGAGGCTGCCCAGAGAGGTGGGGGAGTCTCCCCCTCTGGAGCCATCCCAAACCCGCCTGGACGCCGTCCTGTGCCACTGCTGGAGGTGCCCCTGCTCTGGCGGGGGTGGGATGGGGGAGCTCCAGAGGGCCCTTCCAGTCCCCACCGGCCTGGGATGCTTCATACACGTAGCAAGTATCCTACTCGTCCAGCGCTTTTTCTTTTTTTGAAACATGTCTTTGGTATTGGGGAAAAAATACCTATTTTGGTACAAAGTGACTGTCATAGCAGGATTAATTTTTTTTTTTTAAATCAGAGAAGAGAATGCCAAAGGTTGTTTAGAAGATTTATTTTAAAGCTTTTAAAATACACTTTTGTCCTGAGAAAATACAGTAAGCTTAGGAACAGCTTAATACGGATTAAACAAGTTTAATGCAAAAAGGAAAAAAAAAATATCTGAGCTACTTTTTTTTATTCTTTGAACACGTGAAGGCGGCCACTGGAGTTGCCGCCCACTAAGATGTTCTTGCTGGGATGAACCACATTAATGGAACACACAGAACTAAGGCAGTCAAGGTTATAAAAAGAGTGCAACAACTTCCCAGTATCCTGGAAGACCTGTATTTGTCTCGGACGCGCCATACTGCCCACCACGAAGCAGTCTTCCTGCTTAGGGTCCCATATCGCTCTGAACCTAGTTAACCAGCGTCCCGTGTTACTGTTATGTCTTCAGAGAAACAAACAGGGAGAAAAAGAAAGAGATAAGCATTCCTCTTATTGAATCCAGTACCTTTAAGTATCACCACTTATGTCACATTTGTTTAAGCCCATGTCCCTCGCCTTCTAAACCATCGGCACTCCCACCCACTGGACAGACGGTGCGGTGCGGATCCACCCCGGGGGCGCTACCCTGGGACAGCTGGGACGGGACACAGAAGCGTAACGGAGAGAAAGGATAAAGCAGAGGGTACTTTGATGTAACTAATTATTTGTCAAAGCAGTTATGCTTCATAGGTGCATGCTTTAGTAAAAACAGGGCAAACATGCATCCAGCCTTTCAATGAACTGCAAACGGAGAGTTCTCAAGGCAGTCATCGCTGATCGCTGAGCTCCAGCTCCTCAGCAAACCAACCCCGACAAGGACTCGCCCTTCTGGAGCACAAAGTGTCTTACAAGTGTTGAGACTCTACCCAAAACCATGCGCTTTACTGCTAAGGCGGCACGAAAGCGTCCCTGCAGGCTTTACCGACTCAAAGCAGGCTGTGCCCCAGTCGTGCTTTACGAACAAGAGGCGCCCGGGGGGGCTGGGGCAAGTTCTCAGGCTAGGAGGGTCCCAGGGCTGCTCTCGCCCCTGCAGCTGGCGAGGAGCCCGAGGCTGTTTGGGAACACAGCACCGTGTGGCCGCTGCACACCCGTCGCTCATGCCACAAGTGCACTTGGAGCAGAACGGCCATAGCCAGAACCGCCCCCAGCCCCGGTGTGTTCCGCTTACCTGATGGTACTGAGAACGGCGACTGCCGATGACAAAGAGGTGGTGTCATAGACCCTATAAGACACAAGTGCAGCAATGAAATGTACGTGTGTTACAAAAGGCAGCCCTTCCCTCATGAAGCACCTTGCACAGATCAGCACAGGCCAGACCACGCAAGAGTCAGGAATACAGTAACGCAGAGCACACAGACATCCAGCTCACAGCACCAACATTCCGACTGCAATTCACTTGCTTTTTTCATTGCTTGTAGCTAGAGCTGAAGGTCATCCTTTCTAAAAGCTTTATAAGAAGAGAAGAAGAACGGATTGCTCGGACAAACGAGAGGCTCCTCTAGCCCAGCAGCCTGTCCGTGTAGCCGCTGCACAAACAGGCTGCCCGGGGAAGAACGCAGGAGAAGGCAAACACACGCCACGAGCGGAATCCCACCACTACCAGCTTCTAACAGCGTCCAGTGCCAGGACTTCCTCAGGCAGGCGTGGGCTCGACTGACGGAGAAACCATCAACAGATCTCCCGTCCTGGGCTCTGCTTCACCGCCCATAAACTTTTGGGATCCCAAACCCCCCAGGGCAAAAAGTTCATCAGGCTGCTGGGTTAAAAGCTGCTTTCTTTTAATTTGGAGGAGGCAGTGAATAAATGATCCTGTATCTGTTTCTCCATTCTGTTGAGCAGAAATATTCTGGTTTGCTCATATCCGTTTTTTACTCTGACACTTGCTCCGTTAGCGCTAAAGATTCACGATTTTCCTAACAAAGCCTACTAGGAAAACAAATCTTCAATTATCTATAGTAAATAAATCACAGGAAAGAAAGCATTACAGCAACACAGAACTCACACAAAGAACTCTTCCCTGTGTATGTGGAAGGGGAAGAAAGAAAACCAAATTTCCAGACAAAACATGCAACGCTGTAACAGCTGCACCATATTCAGATTCTTTCCAGAATACATGTAGCTACCCTGTCTTTTAAAACCACATGCGATCTCCAGAGCAGAGGCCCGATTTTCAACCTGGCCTTAACTGGGCCCCCATTTTGTACCTGCTATTCTTTCACACAGTTTAGGGCTTCTAAACACGTACGTGCTGAATATGCAGAGGTATTTAGGTGAATAGATTACATAAATTATGGTCACATAACTACAAAGTAGAAAGAAAAAACTAGATCTCTAATACAACACAGCTCACAGCCGTTTAAATTAATAAAAGGTAGCTAGTTACAAAAGAGCTGATATTATCACACTTTTAAGTACCAGCAGCTAAAAATAAATTCTGTTTCTAAGCGTTTCGTATTCATGAGCCAGGGTTTGGGCTGCTTTTTGTTGGGTTTGGGGTTTTTTGTTTGCTCATTTGTTTGGTTTAAAGACTAACAGCACCTGCATATTTCACTGTTGATTGTTAAATATTCTTCAGGAAAATGAGAATTAGGAAAAAAAAAAAAAAAGACAATCATGCAACATTAAAAATGCCATTGCGAGTAAATCTTTATCACTTTTAGAAAAAGTGATGAAGATGGGAAGCTCTCAATTATGGGTAATGCAGATAGACATTAATAACAAAAAGATACCAGTTGGTATTTTCTGTCAAGATTATTCCCTCCCACAGCGTCTTACCTCAGTTTATCATCCGCACACACCGTCACTACTCTGTTCCCAGTCACAGGTGAGAAATACGCAGAAGCAACGCTTCTTGTGTGTCCTTTAAGAGAGCTCACAGGAGTGTTCCCATTAGACTTCAGGTATCGAACATCATAAATACAAACATCCCTGCAACACATATCACACACACAACACTTCACAAGGTGGTTAAATAACTAGTATTCTTATGTTCCATTTACCGAAAAATGCTCAAGAGACACCGCAGGTTTTACACGAGTTGCATTGAGAACTTGAGTTCAGGAGTGCACGTTCACTCAAACGGCCGGTGGCTCCACGGGACTCTGAGCACGCCAAAACCACGCCAAACCACCATCTCATTAAAACCCCTCTACACTGTGATCTGTCAAAAAACAGTGACTCAGAAGACCATTTTGTACCCATTACCAAAAGTGAAAGTCAAAAGCGTATCACAGTTTAAATCCTGCTAAGAACTAAAAACTTGTTTTCTAAAAAGATCGAGAAAGCTTTGGCAGTTCACTGAGGCTGACAAATTGCCTCAGCAACAGCTGCTCCTGCCCTCCAAGCGTGCCATTTATAGCGGACTTCAGACATCAATGCAGACAGAACGCTGAAAACACAAAATAACTGCAGTTCATTTTGAGCTACATACACGGCGCCAGCAGCAACGAAATACTGTTTTTTCACTGGGTGAACATGGACTGTCCTCGTCCTTTTGAAGCCAATGTCTGCAGAAAGCTCTGAAGATGTTCCTGGGGTCCGTCTGTCCACAACAGCAACGTTGCCATCCCAGTGTCCTACTATTGCAGTGGAGGCATTATCTTCCAGAAAGTCAAAGGAAGATAACCTTTCTTCACTTCTGCATATCTGAGCATAGAAAAGGTCAAATGTAACTGAAACTATTCAGCCAAATGCACGGAGTTATTCACAATACCCACACCACTCTATGGGCTGTAGATTTCATGCTTTCCCTTTTTAATACACTAACAATACTAATGAAGACTACCTGATTTCATAGCTCCAGCCTCGGCTATCCACGCAGGTAACCCTTCTGCAAAACTGGTATGCTTTGCACAGAGGAGATAATTAACCATCCAAAACAAACCGGCAACGTACTCTGAATTCTGTCAGAACTCTTCCAAGACACTATCACCTCCAGGTTCCAGTAATCAAATGGCTGTTATCCTCGAGTGCATAATGAGTGAGGGCTAACAATTGCATTCCTTTCTCCAATGCTACAGAAACCTTTAATCGGGTGCAGAAATGTGAATTTGGCTTCCTGTAATTTGGGAGATCAGAGTCCGGACGTCAAGCCGTGACTCTCCTCGTTAGTAGCTGTATTCTTTCAATGGCAGCACTACTCCTAGCGGTATCACAAGGCTACGTAAGTTGGCGTAAGGTAAGTGGAGCAGGAGAACGGCCTGTCTCTTCCCCCAACCTCTAAAGACACTTTCTTGCAAGCATTTGTCTCAAGGAATGACCTTCCTGGCCTCCTCACCCACCAACCGCGGACACTTGCCGAGCAGCTGGCCTGCCTGCATCCCCACCAGAATGACAGTGCCTGTAAGGGTTGGGGAAAAAAGCGCTTTAAACTGTTGGGGCTTGTTATGTTTTCCAGTGTTGGAGAGCTGATTAATGCAGATGTATCTGTCAAAAAATACGCAAACAAAGCAAGCATCACGTAACTCCTCAGTTAAGCTGTCCGGCTCACCGCAAAGGCAGCCGCAGCGTTTCGCTGACCTGAAGTCTGAGGAAAGCAAAGTCACCTCATGCTTTATGTTGGTTTACAATGTTTAGTTGGGGGGTGGGGGTGGGTGCGTTAGTACAATTTAGTTGTTTAAATCGCTCTTGTTTGTCATCATCAAAAGGTACTGCTTTTGTAAAGGCACACATATTGCTTAAGTACGAAGATATGAAATTAAATTCAATAATTGCAACTGCTTCTGCAGGAAGGAAATTAGGAGTGCCCAAGCTGTTATTCTGTTCTATTGAGCAGGAAGCATCTCCGTATTTTTATGATGTTAATTAAAGGTTACTTCATGTGTCCTTGTGGAAATGGAACCTTGAACTTTCTTGTTAACAAAACAGCCAGCAAATAACAACTTGGGTACGAGACTAAAACCTCACAGCAGTACACACCAAGAGATTTCCAAGCAGTCTGCAGCACAGCCGTGGGAGCACTCACCTCATCAAAGACAGCTCTGGTAACATCCCCACATCGCAGAGACTCATTGCTTACAGACAGCAAGTGAGCAGGATTGAACGGAGAAAAATGCATGCAGCTGACCGAATAGCTGTGTGGAATGAAGACAGGCGCTCCTTCTTCGGACTTACAGTTCTGAAAAACAATTGAGATTCAATGAGCACAGATGCTAATCACTGTGGTTCTCCCTATCAATTACTGCAACTTTCAAAGTAAAGTCTCCGTTTTTCAAATGTTCTCAGTCTGCTCTGGACAACTGTATGGAGGAGGCAGGAGGGTGAATGATGCGTGGAGATGCCAGCACAGGTAACAGGCACAGGCTAACGTCTTACTGGGACAACGGGAGTTTCACCTCTGCATGGAAGAGAACTGACCTCACGTGGACCACCACTCCACGCAGCACGGCTAGGCTACGACCTCCCTCCCACTACCCCCTTCACCACTATTAAAAAAAAAGAAATTTAGCTCAAAAGAGCACTAAGAATTTACTCTCAGTTTCAGAACTGTGTTTCCCAATTAGGAAAAGCTGCCATTTCCTGCTGTAATTCAAGCGCACTTCTGTCAGCGCAGCCGTCAATGCTGTATCTGGCCATCGATATCTGGCTCTTGTTCACTGACAGAACTGGTTTCTCGCTTACCGCAGCTGAACACCTTGCTGAGGACCAAATGTACGGGTATGCCTTTTACATCAAAATATGCACACATTAGGTTACTTAGAACTCAAGCTAAATTATAGTGACCCAAACTGAATGTAAATTATGATTTCCTATATCTTCTTTTATAATTCGGGCATCATTCAAGCTCTGATATTTTAAAAGAAACCGAACAGATCATTTCAGAGCAATACCATTCCACAAAGACCACTCTGCTCCCAAACCTGGTCAAGTCGAACTCACTTCAGGAAAATAAAAGAAGGGAGAGCAAGAGGGAAGAGTAGCTTTAACAATTCTAGGCTTCCACTGAAATGTCTCTGCAAGGCCACAAGAGAGCCTGCAGCACTCGGAGACCTCAGCCTCCCCGTCAGCAGATCACACTCTCTGACAGGGAGAAACCGCAGCTGCACAGTCAGAGCTTTCTAAATTATATGGAGCAGGTTAAACTTCTTGGTAATTGAGTAAGGGTCTCAGCGCTGAATTTTGTTGATCAGTTTCCTGAAGCTGTCAAAGCAGAAATTAAGCCAGAGAAACTCGAGAGGTTAATGTCATTGGAAAAAATGAGAAGAAAACCTGCAGGCGTGTGACCTTCAAGCAGCTGGCTTGGGTGACGTGGGATAAAACGGAGGAAGGTTGCAAAGGTGTAAGTCAAGGGCATGAATAAGGATTCTTGCTGCAGGAGTAATTAAGGCAATTCAGAAACGATGGCGAGACTATCTGCAAAGCCCTCAAAAGTTTTCAAAGCACCAAATGCTAAGCTATTTTTCAGACACAATGTAAGTAAATAGGTGCCAGCACACATATTGGCACAGCAATTTCATCTCTGCCGTCCGGAAAAAACAGTGACTCACTGCAGCTACCCAAGATTTGTACAAACAAAAACCGAATACTTGAGCATCCATTTCTCCTCGCTCTCCAAAACCTGGTTGTGGTATTGCTATAAGGGTACTGGAATTAGAACCTGAGTCTCTCAACAGTGAATTGGAATTTTAACCATTGTTTCAGGTAGTGATCCCTTTTCTTCCACTCTGCCCCTAAAAATTACCAATGCAACCTTTCCTCCCATTAAACCTGGCCTTACCAAGGACCAGACAGACCTTTCAAGCAATTCTGGTGAGCTTCAATTTAACAGACACCCTGGTGTAATCCGTAAGAACGGGGAAAGTCTAACACACCACTGCAGGCCTGACAAAATAACACCGCAGGCTGTGCCACGTCTGTACCCATCCTGCAACGGACAGCTCTGCCAGGTGAAGAGCACACCAACAACTCACCACATTCCAGAGACCGATCTGCCCGGACTTGTCTCCAGCTGCCACGAAGATGATGCTTTCAGAAGGATGGATAGCCATAGAACACACTCGGTATTTCACAACCTTTTTAATGTTATCTTCACTGAGGACCATGCTGTTCAGGCTGTCTTGGTATCTAGACAACATCATTAAAACGTTAGCTGTTCAAGAGAAGAAAGAAAGAGAAGACGACAATACCCAGGTTTTAGCTGCTGTCTTCTGATCACCTTTTCACATCACACGTGTGCTTTTCCGTATCATTAGCTTTCATCTACGGACAGAAAGGAAATATTTATCAGAATTAGATTACTTAGAACTCAAGCTAAATTACTTTATCCAAAAATAATTAATTGTAACCAGTAATACCTCGCTTATCCTCATCCACGTAGTCAATAAACCCTCTGTCAATTTACTGTTCTCCATCTGATCTTCTGGAACCATTGGCAAAGGGCCGGCTGGAACCTGAGGCTGGAATGACATTAGTGATTTTTGTAACTCAAATCAATGAAAACTACAAATAGGGTGAATTGTTACTTTGCGCACACCAGGTATTCTGAGAACACACATGTGATAACACAAGAAACAAACAATACGTAACAACAACAACAAAGTCTGTATCAAATCTGATTAAAAAGATAAACAGAACTTTACTAAATGCAACAGCGAAGACAAACAGCTACCCCGTGTTTTTCTCCTCTCCTTTCTGACACTCCAAGAACCGTATTACAGAGATTTGGCTTTATTCTACAGCACCATGGAAGATTTTAATTCCCATCTCTTAGAGCAATAGAATTTTTACTTATTGCTATATAACTACTTCAAAGAGGTAGTAAATATTGCAAAGCAAAATAAACTAGATCAAAAGTTACAGTGAAATAACATTAAAACAGAGCAATAAAACTGAATTTAAAGCTGCTCAAATCTATGGGCTGTTGAAAAATGCGTAACATTTTACCTCAGGACCCTTCTGATCATCCAAAACCGCACCATTTCATCAACCTGAGTCACAGAATATTGACTAACCCTCAGAGAGGACATGGCAAGCTTGCTACTCAAGATGCTTGAGGGTGAAAGAATTTACTTTTTATTATGCCACTGTATAACGCACCTTCCCAAATGTCTAAAGGTTTTTGCAACAAGCTCAGCAATGACAAGTATTATCAGTCAGCTTCACCAGCACCGTTTTTATAAAGCTCGTGTACACACACGCGTATCTCCTCTAACCCCTCCCCATCTTACATATTCCTCTGCTGCTGGCTGGGCAGGCATCTCCACCACTGGAATTTCTGAAGGCTCTACTCTTTGCAAGCGCATAGATCTTCGCCGTACTGTTTCATCTTCTGCCTTTTTAGGCTTCGCTCTAGAACAATTAAAACATTTCAAAATTACAGACACAGTTAACTAACATACGCCCTCTGCATTTAAGTACAAGACTACAGAGTCGGTTCAGACGTACAGCTCTGACACCTCAGCTCAGATTTACAGCCTAACTGGTTCTGATTCACTTTAGGAGGGCTGTGATAGCTTTTGCCTTCACTGATAGCAACGATCAACAAAAAAGCACTTCGCAAAGCATATATATGTATTGCATTTTGGTTTGCTTGTAATACATCCTGCCACTGTCACTTGTCTTCCCAGCCCTCCTTATTTATAATTCATCCTTCCGCTCATTGATCTAGTCATCTTTCTGCACTTTCTTTCATCACATATCTTATTCTTTGTTTTGTACTTAAGCTCATTTTTCTCCTTTGCCTGGCACTGTTCTGGCAGTGCTAAATGTCTTGTCTTCTACATTAATTGGTTACTCTATCTCTTGCACCTAGTTCTCCCCGCTCCCTTTCTTTCCCAAGCCTTTTCCCATCATTTGTTTTTTATTATTTAATACTTTTTTCTTTAGCCATCATGCAAAAATGTCATCAGAAAAAACAAATGGGCTTGAAATATCTTAATACAAATATCATGAAAAGAACATATTCTGTAATTTGACGGAAAAGATATTAATGCTGTCATTTTCTTTCCAACGGATGGCAGAGGAGAGGCACTACCTAGAGGAGCTACCCGTTCAGGAATTCATACAGCTTAAGATAATCAGTTATTCACGTTTATCTTTACAGGGATACTCCTCACTAGCTCTCCCTCTTTGTAGTATCAGGCACATGCAGATGGAGATGCTAAAACAGCAAACACACAATGAAGGAACAGTGACAAACTTCACATAAAGTTATTTTACCTTTTGGTGACATGAGATTGTCTTTTAGTTGCAATTTGGTGAAGTCTTGCAGCTGACTTGAAGAGAAAGAAAAAAAAGATTAAAAATATATATAACAAGCATAAAAGATCAACCTGTATAAAATACAGTTATCTAAAGGCTGCAATAAACTATATTTCAATTATTTATAACCATAATAAAAAGGGATTTTTAAACATCGAGCTCTGTAGTGTCTGCTTCCTTCGATGTCCCAGCAAGACCTCCCTGATTCCTGTGAACAGCGTGCGGCACAGTCTCGATGTTCTGCAGTTGTTCTCTTTACAGAACAAAGAGAACACTCCAAATGCTACACACCAGACACAGAAGGACATTTAAAGCAGAACCTGTAACTACAGAGGCCTCCATTCACAGCCTCTTCTCCACTACATTTTGAAGACAGGCATTTAGCTCATTTGTCTCCGGAAAAGTTTAGACGTGTCCAGCTCACCACCAGGACCACTCTCTACTCCACCACCGCTCTAGCCTGAGCAGCACCAACTCGGGCATGGAAAGACTTACCCGCTGCTTGGCTCTGGCAGCCCGCACTAGCCACTGCCAGTGCTAACCGAGACGGCTACAGCTCCTTTTGCTAGTCTGCGCTACTCTGCGGGCAGCGCTGTGATTACAGGCAGACTGCCCAGTCTTTACTGACCTCTCTGACAGTAACTGGAGGAAAAGGAGTTATTTTCACTCAGGTTTCAGTCGTGGCAGTAAGGAGCCCTACTGCCTACTAGACAGGCCCAACCGTGTCCTGCAACCTGGTATAATGACCAAGCAAGCATGCAGCCGTCCGAGGAGGTAATTGGGTAATTCACTCACTGCTGCCAGAAAAGGGATATATTATGAATTAAAAAAAAGAAAAAAAAGAAAAAAATAAGAGAACGAACAAGTGCAGAAAGAAGGGCAAAGATTTAGATCTACTCATGTGACAGCATTTGAAGTCCCACTACCTTAACTTTCTAGACAACTTCACCAACGTGAGAAGAATTATAACGCGCTTGTGTCCACCCTATGGCGCAGAGCAGATAGGAGACGGGGAAGGGCACCAGCAGCACACGCCCCGCGGGCTCTTCCCTGCACAGGGCGGAGAGCCGAACCCTCCCAAACCCGAGACCTGCCACCTGCTGCCCTACAGCCTTCCAGTTCGATAACCAACTAACCTGCGTGCACTGCATCTGAAACGCAAGAGCGCAATGTCCTCGATGGGGAATGCGGGTGCACAGGAAGGGGTGGGAGCACACGCTACACAAGCGAGCAGGACGGTGCACATACCACACTCACACTGCCCAGAACACACACACAGGCACCTTTGGGAGAGCATTTCACCCAAGGGTCACCTCATCTGGTCCTGCTGGGTCCGCAGCTCTGGGACCACACGCACTAGCACGGCTGGGGGCTGCTGCCACGGAACACCGTGGCAGGGGAGTTTTGCTTTCTTCGCTTTTTGTACGTTTAACCAATGACCCCCCCCTTTGGAAAAAGCTAACCAGCAGAACAAAACCCCATTTTTTTATCCAGTCAGGGCAGTCCTGATGTCTCGGGACATTTTTGTGGCTCTCCTCACACACCTGTCGCTGTTAGGGAAGGGTTTCACGAGAGGGATGACAGTACAATTATCACACTTGGAAAAGCACATTTTGAAGCTACTTAGAATCTATACAAACCTCATGCAGCTTTAAGGCAGCAAAGAATTTAGCATTTTCTGTAATGTTCTTTAGTCTTTTCCTTTCATAAGCTGATAACTGTGAGTATCCATCCTACAAAAAGAAAAAAAACAATTACTCTTACTTGTACAGTTACATGGTGTGCAAAAGATGTCCCAGGCTTCTCAGAAGCAAGTCTCTAAAATGTCTAAATTATTTAAAAGTGATTTGATATACTTATAAAAAAACCCCAAACACCATACAAACTGGGGTGATCCTATATCAATACCAAAACTTGCCCATATAGATACTAGTTTGCATTACAAAACTTATTGCCAGCATTGATTCTACAACAAGGGTCAGGTCACTAAAATCTTGGTAGAACAAAAACAACACTGAAGCGAATCAATAAACAACTTGGCACTTCAGCAACACAGCAAATACTGCACATCAACGCAATACAGTCTTAGATCATTTTTATCTTTCATAGAGGAGAAGGTGGACTTGACAAGTTGAAATGATGATTTAAGTATAAATGAACACTGACAAAACTTTCCTATCTTATGACTGTATCCATCTGTAAAATCATCTGGAACACGGTTACTGACAGCGCAACAACACACTGATGCTTGTGCTACTGGGTTTTACATACTCGGACTGACAGCAAGAGCATTTTTCTCCACCCCTTAGACATCGAAAGGGTAAAATGCAGTTTTATATTGCCAGTCAGAGAGGTTAAAAAGAAACAGGAGAAAAGGTGACGTAAAGAGGAAAAATACTTTCAAACTTCACTTTTGCAAACGCATTTGCGTCTCGAGAACGGCGAAACCGCCACCCTTCCCCGTGCCTCTGCGGCGGGGAGCGGAGGGCTCTGGGCGGACGCCGCTGCCGCGCCGGGAGAGGCCCCTCGGGGCCGGTCGCCCC